GCCGTTGTCGTCGCCCGCGACGCCGCCGTCGTCGTCGTCGCCGTCGTCGTCGTCGTCGTCGTCGTCGCCGTCGCCGTCGCCGTCGTTGTCGTCGTCGTCGTCGTCGTCGTGATCGTCGCCGCCAGAAGCGCAGGGCGACGGCGCTGCCGCTGTCGTGCGCCTACAGTCCTACCGCATAGTATCAGGAGGAGAAAAAACACACAGACACAATGAATCGTCGATCCCCCAGAAAATGTGGGGAAAGATGGGAAGTGGGGAGGAAGCCAGAAACCCAGAAAAGATGGGAAAGCATGGGGAATCCTTTCAGTTGTGTGTATTTGCTTGCGTGTCCCAGGGCCCCTTCATAGTAATGATGGGCAACCTTCCCAAGGGTACCCCTGCCTCCTTAGCGACCTTCGCTGGCCAACCTCGTTCGAAGAACGTTGGCACGGCCCTCGAAGGCCCTTGCATCCTTACCGCGCATCTTTCTTACACGGGGTGGCTGCATCGCGAGGCCTCGTCGTCGTCGCCGCCGCCGCCGAGGCCGCGCCGGCGCAGAGCGAGGCCGAGCAGGCTGCGCTGGCCGCGCTGGTGCAGAGCGGGGAGGAGGAGGAGCCCCGCCTCGTCGGCAGCAAACCTTGGGAGCCTGGTATGGCCTCCTCCCCCTCCTCTCCTCCTCCCCTCCTCCTCCTTCTCCTCCTCCTCCTCCTCCTCCTCCTCCTCCCTCCTCCCTCCTCCACACCTCCCCTCCTCCGTCTCACTCCCCAACCTCCCCCCTCCCCCCCCCCCCCCCGAAGCGTCGAGAGGCCCCGACAACCGCTCCAGGATGGGTCCAAGCGGCTGCCCCCAGAGGAGGAGCAGGACGAGGGCGACGAGGGCGCGGAGGACGCCGCCGCCGGGACCACCCTGCCCGCGCCGGCGCGCGCGCCCGTCGCCCGGGCCGCGGCCCGGGCCGCGCCCGCGGGCGGGCAGCCCCGCCCTCAGCTCGTCTGCACGAACGACATGGGCACGGAAAGAATGGGTACAATGGCCAACAGCGGACTCGCTGTCCACGCCGCCGCGGCCTGTATCCATTCGAGACAGAAGGCCGCCTGCCCAACAGCAGCCGCCGTTGGTTTGGGACAACATTTGTTGTTGGGCATTGTACCCAGTCTTTCCGTATCCATTTCGGGCGTCCAAAGCTCGGCATCGTTCGGACGTGTGCAGTTTTTCTCGAGGGGGGCCGCCGAGGAGCATTTTGAGCCACCGCATCACAGGCCTCTGATTAGATCTGGGAGAAAGAAAAATACGAAGGGTTGCAAGCTTCGGCGAAAAGTCTCTGGCAGCGTCCAAGAGAGAAAGGGACCACCCCCATGCGCGCCCCACTGTGGTGTCGAGAAAACGCCACGCCTGCGGTGCCCTGGCCAGCCGTCACGCATAGCGGCCGCGCTCAGGGAACACCCCTCCCAGATGGTGTCGGAGTAGATGGGGTCGGAGGATCGCGCCGCATCGCCGATGCATCGGCGATGCGGCTCGATGAGAGGCCGATTAGCTTCAAATCGACGTGGGCGATGCATCGCCCACGTCGACGAGGCATCGCTGGTGCATTTCGGCGATGCGGCGCGATCATCCGACCCCATCTACTCCGACCCCATCGAGGAGGCCCTCAGCTTGGCATTGCTCGGACGTGTGCAGTTTTTCTCGAGGGGGGCCACCGAGGAGCATTCTTAGCCACCCTATGTCAAGCAGTGGCGAAGCGTTCTGGCTCGCCCATATGCCTACCAAATAATGTTCTAATAACCTTTCGTGGTCTTCACGAAGTGTTCTTAGAGCATGTCTGGCTGTGACTGTCTTGTTTTAACACATCAGGTTAATGTCCTACGAACCATGTTTTTGTTCTTAGAACATATTTGGTTTCGAAGAACAGGCCGTGATTGGCCTATAGGAATGTTGGGACGGTCGGTCCCTGGTCAAATGTGGAGCCACCTTATGCGAAGAATGCGCGCGCGAAGTCGAAACAAGTGCGCGGGGCGTGGATGTCTCAGCGCGATGGCCCATGAGTGGGTCCTGGGAACGACGGGGCCGTTTGTTGTTGCCGGTTCCGTCGCCATTATTATTGCAGGTTCCGTTTCGACGCTCTTGTTTCGGTTCCGGTTCCGATTCCAATCCCGGAGCCGTTTTGTGGCCATTTGCGGTCGCCACTGTTTTACCGCTTCCATTGTTAAGAGAGACATTTTTCTGGAAACGGTGAAAAAGTGGCCCTGCCGTTTCCGCGGCCCACTATAAGGTCCCTCCTCTCCGACGAGGACATGTACAACGTGCCGTCCTCGTACACCCCGTGGGCGCCCAGGGTGGAGGGGCGAGGGTGCAGTTGGCACGAGGACCAGGAGCTCAGAGGAGGGAAGGATGATACCGGTGCCGCTGCTCGACGAGGAGAGAATCGGGGTCGGCAAGGAGGGGGGTGATGACTAGGGGGGGGGATATCATGGCGTGGGCCATGATATTTTCCCAGGTGTCATGGCGCCTTTTCTTATTTCATTACGTCCCCAGCCCCCCCGCTGGGCCGCGCACGTGCCGCCGGTCATGATTTGCACCCCCCCTCTTTGACGTCCCCCTTTTGGCAGCCCCCGAGAGACTTCCATGAGCATGGTTTTTCGGAGGTCCGCGCGGACCCCCGAGAACGCATGTTTACGCGGTTGTTTGTTCCTCTGGCTGCCGCTCCCTCGAAGTCCCAGTGAGTGCGCACCAGGAGAGGCCCAGGGCGTAGCCGTAGAGGTATGCGGCTGCCGTTTTCCCCCAAGAGCAGCCCCGGTGTGGCCAGGGCGCCCCTCTGTTCTGCGCGCTGGGGCTCTCGGCCCCCCTCTCTCTCGCTCGCCCCCTCCCCCCTCCTCCCTCCTCCTCCTCCTCCTCCTCCTCCTCCTCCTCCTCCTCCTCCTCCTCCTCCTCCTCCTCCTCCTCCTCGCCTCCTCCTCCTCCTCCTTCTCCTCCCTCCCCCCCCTCCTTCTCTCCTCCTCCTCCTCCTCCTCCTCCTCCTCCTCCTCCTCCTCCTCATCTCCTCCTCCCTCACCCCTCCTCACCTCCTCCTCCTCCTCCTCCCCTCCTCTCCTCCTCCTCCTCCTCCTCCTACCTCCTCTTCCCCTCCTCCTCCTCCTGCCTCCTCCTCCTCCTCCTCCTCCTCCTCCTCCTCCATCTCGTCTCCTCTCTGCGGGCTCCCCCGGCCTCCCCGCAACGCGCCGCCGCCCCGCAACGCGCCTGGGAGGTGCGGTTTGCATGGGGCGGCCATGGGGTGGATGATGATTCGGAGGGACGGAGGGCCATCTCCTCCCTCCTCCTCCTCCTCCTTCCTCCTCCTCCGCCCTCCTCCTCCCTCCTCCTCCCTCCTCCTCCTCCTCCTCCTCCTCCTCCTCCTCCTCCTCCTCCTCCTCCTCCTCCTCCTCCTCCTCCTCCTCCTCGTCCTCCCCAGGGGGCCTGGAGCCCTCGGCCAAGGGGGCCTCCCGTGCCCGACCCGCAGAGTCGCCCTCGCCGGCGCTGGCGCGCGAGCTGCCCGCGTGAGGCCGCGCCCGGGCGCCCTCGCTGCCGACGGTGGCGTGCCGCGCCGGCGGCCCTCGCCGGCTGCGGCGCGAGGTCGCTGTGCTCTGCACGAGCGAGATGGGCACGGAAAGAACTGGCACGACGAGGAGACGGCCTATCTCCTCCTCCTCCACAAGCGGCCTATCTCCTCCTCCTCCACCTCCTCCTCCTCCTCCTCCTCCTCCTCCTCCTCTCTCCTTCCTCCTCACTCTCTCTCGCTCTCTCTGCCCATGTTATTCCGATCTCCTCCCCCTCCCCCTCCTCCACCTCCTCCTCCTCCTCCTCCTCCTCCTCCTCTTCCTCTCTCTCCTGTCGTCCTGCCCAACAGCAGTTCGTGCAGACGAGGAGGAGCAGGACGAGGGCGACGAGGGCGCGGAGGGCGCCGCCGCCGGGGCCGCCCTGCCCCCGCGCCGGCGCGCGGGCCCGCGGCCCGGGCCGCGGCCCGGGCCGCGCCCGCGGGCGGGCAGGGGGCAGGGCGGCCCGCCCTCAGCTCGTCTGCACGAACGGAATGGGCACGGAAAGAATGGGTACGATGCCCAACAGCAGTTCCTGTTCATCTTGAGCAGGACTCGCTGTCGGCGCCGCCGCGGCCTGTGTCCATTCGAGACAGAAGGCCGCCTGCCCAACAGCGGCCGCTGCTGGTGCGGGACAACATTTGCTGTTGGGCATTGTGCCCATTCTTTCTTTACCCACTTCGGGCGCCCAAAGCTGTGCCATCTCGCGTGAGACCCGCTGCTTGTTCGCCGCTCGGGGGGCGATCGGTTCGCGTCGGCTCCAACTCGCCCACGCGTCGCCGACAGGGGTCCGGTGTCCCTCCCCCCCTGGGCCGTGCGGGTTCGCTGTGGCCAGGCGACCGCAGACATGGATCAAGGGGGCGTGGGTCAGCGACGGGCCCCGCTTCCACGGGAAGTCGCGGATTTCAGCCGCCGAGCGAGGCGGCACCAGCCGCATTTTGGGGAGGGCACCTCCCCCGATCCATGGATTTAACGTCCGCGCGCCAAGTCCATCTTTGCGCGCCCCCGATCATCGCCGGTAGGAGCCCGATATCCCTCCCCGCCCTGGACCGTGCGGGCTCGTTGTCGGGGGCCTGTCGCCGATCGATCGGCGATGTATCGCCGATGCCAGGTCGATGTTCACCAATCACCAAACCACCCCAACCCAACCCGAAGGCCTCCCTTTGCCCTCCATTTCCACTGAGGGGGGGTCGTGGAACATCGCGAAAACACACGGAACCCGTACCCCCCCCCAATCCGAAATCCGAAATTCTGGTCAAAGTCGGGTCTGCGGGTTGGGTTTCGGGCGAAGAGAATTATGCACATGCACCGATCCTGGCAAGGCCCATCCTTGACCCATGATCGGTGCATATGCCTTCCTGGCCAAGGTAGGAGGGCATATGCACCGATCCTGGGCTCAGGATGGGCCTGGCCAGAATCGGTGTATGTGCATAGTTCTGTTTCCTCTAGGGTTGGGGTGGTCTGGCAGCGAGGCAGAGCTTGTTGTCACGCCCCCTTTTGAGGTGCCCTCCTCCTGTTTCGCTCCCGTACGCTCGTCCCGAACACCACAGTCGACATGCTTTTTTGTGTGTTGTGTGTGCGTGTCCGTCTTCTGCGCCTCCTCCTTCTCCTCCTCTCTCCTCCTCCTCCTCTCCTCATCCCTCCCTCCTCCTCCCATTATCCCTCGTCCTCTTCCTCCTCCTCCTCTCTTCTCCTCTTCTCTCCTCCTCCTCCCCTCCTCCTCCCTCTCCTCCCTCCTCCTCCTCCTCTCCCCCCCCTCCTGACAGCTTTTTGTGTGGTGTGTCTCCCCGGGTATAGCCCTGACCCAAGTGCAGGAGACCCGGTGAGCAGTAAGAGCCCCTGGGCCATGAAGAAGGAACCCTTTTCGTTGGGGAGGGGCGCGGTGTTCCTGGATTGTTTCAAAGTTTGCTTCGGGTTTCCCGAGGTGTTCCATAGGACATCGAAGTTCTACTATGTGGGCAAAAAGGGGCCTCGTTCCTTATTTAGGGTTCCTTAGGTCAACGCCCCGACTGTAGAGCCCCAGAGCCCCTACATGGGCCAGAATCACTGAACCCGTTCTGCCGTAGCTGGTGTTTCTTTCGGGTGGCGGCAGTTCTGGTCAGTGGAACGGGGCGGGGGGGGGCGTCCCCCAGTACACATCTCTAAACCAGGTCCCAGTACGCCCAGTTCTGCCAACGCCCGGCTCCAGGTGCCCAAGAGCGCCGGCTACGACAAGCCCATGCAGCAGCGCTGGCAGCAGGCCGTGGCCGAGGCGCTCAACTTCATGCAGCTGGGCTGGACCGCGACCGCGCACAGCATGTTCACCGGGAAGACGCCCCGCCAGCTCAACCGCTTCGCCGGCACGCGGCGGGTGCTCGACTGGGAAGAGCGTGCGCCCTGCAGGGCTGTACCGTCAAGCCGGGCACGTCCCTTCACAGGAGGAATCTTCAAAAATAGTCAAAAAATAGTCCGGGGATTATTTGTGGACTACTTGTTGCCAATCTAGGTGCATCTTGTAAGCATTTTCATTGTTTCGCACAAGAGTCACCTGTAGGGGGACACGCCCGACCTAAGCCTTCTGGGGGGGTGCCTGGGAGGCCCTCGCCGCCACGACTGGGTGCGCCCTGATCCCCTGGTCAGAGCGCATCCCCGGGAGCCGGGGAGCAGCGGTATCGTGTTGTTGTTGTTGGTGTTGGTGTTGTTGGTGTGGCTGTGGTGGTTGTGGCTGTGGCTGTGGTTGTGGTTGTGGTTGGATTCTCACTCCTGAAGAATGATTGTTGTGGTTGTGGTTGTGGTTGTTGTAGTTGTGGTTGTGGCTGTGGTTGTGGTTGTGGTTGAGCGCTCATTTCTGAAGAATAATAGTTATTGTTGATCCCCCCTCACTGGTGCATGCTGTTTTTTCTTCATCAAAGTGTGCCCGTCGACGCTCGCACTCTGTTTTTTGACCGGGAAAAGCTTCCTGGTCAAACTGTGCCCTTGGCCCCCGGGATTACAACAACAACGGCTCCCGCCTCAGACTTCCTCCAAATTGAATCAGGACCCCCGCTCTCGCTTGAGATTTGTGTGTTATTTACTCAGGATCGGTGCTCCCGCTTCTGACTTCATCGCAATTTAGTCAGGACCCCCGCTCCCATCTGAGACTTCCTCACAATTTATTCTGGAACGGCGCTCCAGCTTGAGACTCCTTCTCAATTGAGTCAAGACTTCCTCTCAATTTAATAAAGACCCCCGCTCCCGCCAGAGAACCCCTCACTGTTCATTGAGGAAATGTTCTCTCGCCTGTGACTTTCATACAATGTATTCAGAAATCGCGCCTTCGACGCTCAGGAAACACGCTGCGCCAAGGACGCCGTCACAATTTACTTCGGAATCGCGCTCTCGCTCTTTCTCTCTATCCCCTCTCTCGATTCCTCTACCTATCGTATCAGTTTTTTTTTGTTTTTCTCTCTCTCTCTCTCTCTCTTTCTCTCTCTTTCTCTCCCTGCCTCTCAGCAACCGCCCCCTGTTTCGCTTCTTCTCTCTTGGCGTTTTCCCTCTTCCTTCGCCCCTCCCCCTTTCCTTTCCTCCCACTCTCCTTCGTTCTCCCCCTTCTCTTTTTGCAGTGCCCACACCAATTCCAATGGCGGGCACATGGACGCCCACGAAAGATTGTCCGCGCGTTCAGGTTTGCCCGCCTGTCTAAGCCCGCCGCCTCCCATAAAGAGAAATAATCACCCCAAAGGGGGTCTGATCGAACACTACTGGGGCGGGTATCGAGGGTGTGGGGAACTCGTTTTGAATGACACATGGGCAAGTAAGAACGAACAGTCTTAGAATGTGTGTTGTTGTTGCTGTTGATTGTTGGACCCCTTATAGGCGCCCTGGCGCTCTCGCAAAGGCGTCGGCTACATTCATTGAACACGAGGCTCACGCTCGAGCGGTTCGGGGGACCGCCAAAACGGGCCCCCCAACAACAACAGAGCTCCCGCTCGAGACTTCCTCCTTTTTTGCTCAGGGCTGGTGTTTCGCTCGCCGCCGAAAGTCCTAACAAAACCAGCGTTCCCGCTTGAGACTTCTTCCCGTTTTACCTTGGACTGGCGCGCTAGTCTTCCTCTCATCGGCGCCGCCCCCAGTAAAAACCACGCTCCCGCTCGAGGCGTCCTTCCTTTTTTGCTCAAGGCGGTGCCCCTCTTCGCCGCCGAAAGCCGCCGGCCCGAAAAAAACAGCATTCCCGCCCGAGACTCCCTTCGTTTTTACGCTGCGCTGGCGCCCGGTAATCTTTTGAATTGGCGCCGCTCCCAGCAAGAATAATGCTCCCGCTCGAGGCTTCCTCCCTTTTTCCTAAAGACGGTGCTGTTCCTCGCCGCCGACAACCCCCGTCCCGACAAAACCACGGCTCCCGCTCGATGCCCCCCCCCCTTTTTACTCAAGGCGGTGTTCCTCCTTGCCGCCGAAAGCCGCCGCCCCGACCAAACCAGCGCTCCTGCCCGAGACTTCCTTCCGTTTTACGTTGGACTGGCGCCCTACTCTCTTTTGAAGTGGCGCCGCTCCCAGCAAGAACAACGCTCCCGCTCGAGATTTCCTCGGGACGGTGCTGTTCCTCGCCGCCGACAGCCCCCGTCCCGACAAAACCATGGTTCCCGCTCGATGTGTCCTCCTGTCTTAGTCAAGGCGGTGTTCCTCGTCGCCGCCGAAAGCCGCCGTCCCAACAAAACCAGCGTTCCCGCTCGAGACGTCGTTTCGTTTTACGCTGGACTAGCGCCCTACTCTCTTCAGCATTGGCGCCGCTCCCAGCAGCAACAGCAGCCCTGCTCGAGACTTCCTCCCTTTCGAATCAGGGCCAAGTCTTTGCCTCACCGCCGACGGCCCCCATCCCCTCCAAGGCAACCCTGTCGTTCGATATTTCCTTATGTTTTATCCTTCGCTGGGTATCCACTGGCTGTCTCGCATCGGCGCAGCAAGGCGCGGGCATGTTTTCGAGGAGGGATATGTTGAAATTCCTCGGAGGAGGTGTTTCCAAAACCTCATTTGGCGGGAGATCTGGGAATGGGAATAACGGACCCCGCTATAGAACAAGAGTCCCCCCATGATGTGGATGGTTATCATGATGGTCGCATGTTTCGTTCGGAAACATCGCGCATGAGGGTAAAAGGTGTATTGTTGTTGGTGTTGTTGTTGTGGTGGTGGTGGTTGTGGTTGTGGTTGTGGTTGTGGTTGTGGTTGTGGTTATGGTTGTTGTTGTTGTCGTTGTTGTTGTTGTTGAACATTATTTATTCTAAAGAATAATTATTGTTGGGCCCCCTGGTGCGCGCCCCCCCTGCGCCGCCTAGGCCGCAGCTACATTTTCATCATTTTCGTGAGAAAGCCTCAGAAAAGAGGGTGTGTACAGGATCCGGTTGTTTTGTTGTAATCCGCTTTCCCTTGCAAAAAACAATAGAAAATGACATTTCTTGTTCAAATATAATCAAATTTCAAGAATCCCTTGCAAAAAATAAGGTAAAGTGGACATTCGCGCGCGCAAGACGAAATCCTTCCAAAAGCTTAGTGTTCGCAGCGATTTTAACATAAAAACATCAAACAACCAATGGTTTTTCAACAAAGAATTGTCAAACTTTCATCCCGCGCGCTCTTGCGGATTCGTAGGAAACCCAACACTTTTTAAACATTTCTGTCAAACGGGCTTTTGCGAGCAACTTTTTCGAACTTCTGCGACA